TAATGTAATTAGATAATAATAAACATGGAGAGAGGGATATGTACATTGTAATCAGGAGCATGGTCCAACGCTTAAAAGACACAGATAATAGGACACTTGGATATAACTCTTGCTGTGCACTACATTATAAGTCAAGTTGTGTCTTCAGGGTGTTTATCACGAGGCACGGTTTTGCCCAAATGGAGCTCATGTTTTGGTATGTGGGACAGGAGAGGTTTGGTGGTGATGATGATGGGGAGGGAAGCAGAGAAAAGGGAAGAGCCCAGGGAGCAGGAACAGATTCCATTTTTGGACACACCAATGAATGATTAGCCTACACATGGTAGAACCCTGCCCTCCCCTCCCCCAACCCCACTCATTGAAACTGGAAAAAAAAAGTCAAATAAACAAACAAAACTGAAGAATACAAATTTAAAAAAATCAAGAGAGAATATCAGAAACAAAGAAACAAAAAGAAGCCCAAACTGGTTTGCCCTCCGCAGTGTAGATTAAAGTCTGTGATATGGAGAAGCAGGCGTTGCTCAGAGAACCTATGGTTTCTTATCAAAACTTGATGAAGAAGTGAGCAAAGAGGGTCCCTGATAGCCAGAGACAAGCCAGCGCTCTAGAGGCCGAGTTTACACCATCAATGACTGCTCCAGGCCCTGTGTAGGGGAAAGAGAGACAGAGCCATTAGCATGCACCCAAAGGTACCATACTTATTGCTGAGCAAACATATAGACATGCTTCTCTGTCAGCATTCCCCCACCTCTCACTTCCACCACTGACCCTTCTAAGTCTGGACAAATGGAAAGTGCCATGGGGAGTATTTAGAAACTCAAAGGGGAAAATCAGTGGGATGTCTTGACCACTATAGCCTGCTCTGAAAGATGGGGTTTAAAAAAAGGGGGGGGTGGAGGGAGGTAATGACAGTAAATTAGGCCTATGGGGAGCATTGTTAAGGCTGCAGACAGGGCTAAATGGTATGACAGGACCTGAAGGCCATTTCATAAATATTACTACTAATTGTGTTCTGTCTTTGGAGATGGAATCCTGGTCAGACAGGGATGTAGGAGAGAGCCATGGGGTGCAGGAAAGAGTCCAGAGTAGAGAGAACTGGGAGGGAGGTGGGGGCTTGGGATGAACAGAAAAATTTTGTGAGCAACAAATATGTAGGTGTTGATGTGGCCAACATTTCATCCCGTATAACTTGGTATTGTGGAGGTTCCTCCTGAAGTAGTTGAGGAAGAATACTCAAGAGTTTTAAAGAGGAGGATTGGGTTTATCCCATAAATCCATGGTACCTCTTCAAAAGGAACAAAGAAGACTCAACCTGTCATATCCTAACTGCCAGCTAATGATGCAGCCTGAAGCAATTGTACCTGCAGGTCTTTCTTTCTTCTTCCCTCTGTCTGACCCTTCTTCACACAGCCCTCCTGAGTCATTCACATTCCATTGAACAAGACTATAGAATCACACACGCTATCCATTTCCTTTCATCTGTTGTCCTTGAGAAGAAAGACCACGGAATGGAATTATCCTGGCCTATTCAAAGGGCCCAGGGCAGATGTGTCTGTGGCTAACTCTGCCTCTGTGCTCCTCCATCACCTTTATTGGGAAACCACAGGAATTTAGGGTCATAATTAAGACAGGCAGCTAGCAAGCAGAGAATATTCCAGGGAAAGCAAAAGCAAGTACAAGCCAAGGGATTAGAAGCCATCAATAGACATTCCTATGAAGCCTGTGACAAAGGGAAGGAGTTGCAAGCAAGACAAGGATGCCTCCTCTTCCTTTTCCAGCCAGGACTACACTGCCTTTTTAGAAGTACATTGGGTTATTGGAAAGGAGCGTGGCTACTTTAAAACGCAGAGGTGGCAGAGGGGCTGCTCAGATAGGGCCCAGTCATTTGGCATGTTTGTCAACCTAATGGTGTGGATCTGTGCCTGCCTGGGAAGGGACTGATGCTGACCTTTTTGTACAGGTTTTTCACTTCAGCAGAGAGCATTCAACTGTTTGAACTTCAGGGATTTCAACATGGACAAGTTTTCTTCCTCTGATCTACAATGTACATAATTCTCTTATTGACTAAAAATTCAGTTTTATATGATATCTTGAGAGTCTGGCTCATATTTCTCTGCAGATTTTTTTTTAAAATGGAGTATCCATAGACAAGGGCAGGATAATGTCTCTAGCTCAGGGCTACAATCTCCATGGAGGCTCCATAAATATTTATGGAAAGTAGCTTGACTCTGGGGCCTCCATCAGTCCAGATATATACCCCGAGGAAGCCTACTGAGTTGGAAAATTTCCAAGTTAAAGTTCAAAGTAATTTTCCATATTGTCTTCTGAAAAAAAAGAGAATTATTTAAATGTTTAAAATGAGTTTATAAGAAAATGAGCAATGTAGATTTATAAAACCCATATGTTTCTTTAAATGTCTAACCAATGTGCTATACACCTGCGCCTTTATCTAATTCATTGTGTTGATATTAACTTAAGAAACAGTTGGAGCTCTGAAAGCTCTACTTTAGAGGGACAGAAGTCTTAGTGTAGAGAAACTTTATTTCAACTTCTACAGTGGACTTCAGCATTTTGGTGATGTCATGATACAGCACAAGGTTGCATATCGCTAAACAGAGAAGAGAAGTTACGTATATAAGAAAGCAAAGCATAAAAAGGTGAAGTATAGAGAGAAAAGAAGGTGGCATCATAAAGAGAAATGAGTGTCTCTCATAGGATATGGGTTGCCATCGATGTTCAGTGCTGATCAAGCAGGGCTTACAGCCACAGTTGAGCTTTCGTTGAGTGTTCCAAAGAGTGGAAGCCATGAAGGTGACTTCATGGATACTGGGGGCTCAGTTTGCTTTGGATCACAATGGTGACAAGTATGATTCTAAATGGTAAACATAGATGAGCTCATTTAATCTTTACAAAACCCACTGAGCTAGGTGCCATTGACATTCCCATGATATTAATGGGGAAACTGAAGAACAGAGCCGGTAAGTACTTTAACTATGGTTACACAACTTACACACCCGGAGCTGGGTTAGAATTGAGTTACTCTGTGGACAGAGTCTGAGCCCTTGATTATTATAACTCTACTTCCTCTCTATGGATAACAATACTTTTTCCCTTTTTCCAGGGACCAGAGCATCATGTGGTGAGAGGAACAATGGACTGGGAATCTGGAAATCCAATTTCTCATGTGACTCTGGTACTCCCTAGCTGAGTGACATCCTTTCTCTGGTCTTGGTTCTCCCACGTACATAGTGAAAGGAGGTTGGAATTGATGACATCTAAGACTCTTCTTCTATTTGCATTCTGAGTTATTGTATTAATAGAAACCCTGCATCTGGTACTAGAATGGACAGCTGGTGCACAGCCAGATGGCCTTTTCCAGTTGATACAAAAGTCATCACCATTCTGTCTTTATCACAATACCTTGAGATAGCAACAGAGAAGCAAACATTCCTAGACCCCAAGGTTTTCTTTCCAATGGCCTCATTTTCTATACAGCTTCAAGGTAAATGAGCCCTGGTTTATAGTATTATATAATATGGCAGTTTACTGCCAACGTAACTTTGGTCAATGAGCAATGACTGAGCTATTCTGGCCAAGGAGTTAGTCTAATCCAGCATGATCGAGATTAAAACTAGCATTGCTTTCCTCATACAGATCCTGGACACATTGGAGATTTGGCAGGTGGGCCAATACCAGTGTCATGGGGGCTCTACAGGAGGGCTCTCAGGCTCTGTCCAGAGCAAGAGGAGACTGGTTCACATCTGTGTACCACTTAAGATACAGTTGAGCCCTGGCTGGTTTGGCTCAATGGATAGA